AGAAAAAAAACTATCCCATGTGTCAAACTGTTTGAGCTGAAGTCCGATAGCGACAGACAGCAGAAATAGCCCAAGTGGCAAGCTGCATTCCAGGCATGATTGGATAAGGACGCCTGGTGCTCTTGCAAGCAAAGGTGAGGGTAGGGTGGCCAAAGTCACATGATCCAGATGGCGCCCACCCCCACTTCCCGGTTAGACCCAAACAGCACTCTCTCAGCTGCTACTGATCTGTCAGAAGGAACTAGACCGCCGGGGGTGGGATGAGAGAGAGAAGGATCACAGCTGACTCAGGAAACACTCGCCACAAGCTCACAATTCTTTGTGCTCATCCCACACACAGGGCACACTGGGCCAAGCCAAGCTGGGACATGGTGTTACCCACATCTCCAGCTGGTAAAAGAAGAATTTACTCCCAAAAATACCAAACAACACAAAAACAAGTCATCACTCAGACCTGTATGGGTAAGCAGAAGTATTAGAGGTTTACCACTATCGTTAGGGACATTTTCTAAGAAATACCCAGGAAATGTACATTTACTGGAAAAAACACTAGAGCTTTTCATGTTTGGGCCTCTGTATAGACATGCAGTACTTCCCCATCAAGCTTCCTAAGGGTTGGCATGGATGAAATGTTCCGTCTCCATTAAAAAAATACTCAAGGGAAGTTTTAAACCACAAAACAGTCACTCTCTTTCAACAAAGTATCAATGAATCAGGATACAGCCTAGGGGCCATTTCATAAGACGTAGAGAGAAATAAAGTCTACAATCATGACCACTCCTAAAACAAAAGCAACAAAGCAATTTACTTTACTCTGCACAGCTTAAAAAACATCTTAAATTGCGGGTAATTTCAAAAACAAAATAATTATGCGTTTTCCTCAAAATGACTGGAAATATGATCAATCACAGACTACTGACAGCCACATTCATAACATATAAGCCACAAGCCTGTGCTAAATGCTTCAAGAAATCTGCTTGGGGTGAATAACATTATGTTTTCATGCTGGCATTTGCTTTTTCTCCACAAAATCTGAATCTTTAGATAAGTAGACATGCGGATGTCATAATTGATTTGACGCAGACTGATGACAGGCTGAACAAGTTGCTAAGGCCGAAGTGAAAATCCAGAGAGATGACTACACTGTCCGTATTCAAACTCAAAGAGACAGTGCACACAGACAGAGCTTTGTCCAAGGAGAAACGGAGGACAAAGGCCACTTAATTGCCAGGGCTGTGAAAGACTGCATGTATATCAATAATGGAATATAGGCCAACCACATAACTCATACTAGACCATTTTTAACAATAATAAAAAAATAAACAGAACAATTTGTAACACAGTTGTGCTTCATCCAAGTTTGCTTGTTTTATCATCCACTAGCCAGAAATCCGGTTGCTTAGTAATGATGTAAACTTCCCAAATTCAGAGTATGGATTGTTATAAAAGGTAAATAAGATTGTATGAGGTAGAACTACTAAAAATGCACAGCGACACTATTTAGAGCAACACCAGCCTGACATAAACTGTGAAGTCAGTGCAGCATCTTATTGGATGGAGTGAGCGAGACAGACTCCAACTGAAAGAAAAGCCTTGATTGTGAGAGTGTGGGCGCACTCTAAAGGGGGTATTGTTTTGGAGGGCACACAAGACTATTTCTCAAAAACCGACATTACATAAGCCTAAATAGCAACATTTGAACTGGACTGTTTTCAAGAAGCACATTTGCTCACCCACACGACTGTGGGGTGGTTATGTGTCTCCATGACAGCGTTTTTTGGAAGGATCTACAAAAAATGCTATAAATTGTGGTGCGCGACCCATCAATCCATATCTTAACTACAAAGAGAAGCCATTATCTTGTCTGTCTTGCTTGGACCACAGTAAAATATGCACCAGTCGGTAGTGGAACTTGTTCATTGCATCTAGCTTTTAAGCAATAAACAGAACAATTTGTAACACAGTTGTGCTTCATCCAAGTTTGCTTGTTTTATCATCCACTAGCCAGAAATCCGGTTGCTTAGTAATGATGTAAACTTCCCAAATTCAGAGTATGGATTGTTATAAAAGGTAAATAAGATTGTATGAGGTAAAACTACTAAAAATGCACAGCGACACTATTTAGAGCAACACCAGCCTGACATAAACTGTGAAGTCAGTGCAGCATCTTATTGGATGGAGTGAGCGAGACAGACTCCAACTGAAAGAAAAGCCTTGATTGTGAGAGTGTGGGCGCACTCTAAAGGGGGTATTGTTTTGGAGGGCACACATCCCCTGCAGTGGGCGTAAGCATTAGTTTCACAGTGCCAAACATTCTGGGAATTATGACAGAGGGCTTCCACAGCGCTACCTATACATACCACGACTTCACATAGTATTTACTTAGCAAACATAAAGACTATTTCTCAAAAACCGACATTACATAAGCCTAAATAGCAACATTTGAACTGGACTGTTTTCAAGAAGCACATTTGCTCACCCACACGACTGTGGGGTGGTTATGTGTCTCCATGACAGCGTTTTTTGGAAGGATCTACAAAAAATGCTATAAATTGTGGTGCGCGACCCATCAATCCATATCTTAACTACAAAGAGAAGCCATTATCTTGTCTGTCTTGCTTGGACCACAGTAAAATATGCACCAGTCGGTAGTGGAACTTGTTCATTGCATCTAGCTTTTAAGCAGCCTAAACATACAAAATGCTTTGCACAAAAGAAAGTGGAATGATAGAGGCGCTCTCACTAAAAGCAGCAGGAGAGAGGGTAAGAAAAGGAGAAGATAGCAAAGAACAACAAGGTTACTGATGAGAAGACACAGGGAAGAAAATAAAGAGATAAGAGAGGGATAGAAATATACAGAGAGAGCATGTACGCGAGAGAGCGTGAAAATCATTCATTAAATCTGTGTCCTGTCAGTGGGACACCATCCATGCGCTCCCTCAGACTTATAAGGAAGACGCTCAGTTCTTCTCGGCTCTGCACTGAAACTCGGCCAAATCCCATCACACAGGGGAGACATCAACCTTTTCCCTGTGGACTGCAACAACTCATGCAAAAACAACACATCCGTCGCAGATTTACAGCAGAGAACAATACCACTGCCTGGTAACAAACTAAAGGGTATAGTTAGTGACATTAAAGGGATAGTTCACCCAAAAATGAAAATCACCCCATGATTTACTCACCCTCAAGCCATCATAGGTGCATTTGACTTTCTTTTTCAGAGTTACATATTTTTTAAAATGTCTCCACTCTTTATAATGGTAGTGAATGTCGAGATTTTGAAGCCCAAAAAAAGTGCATCAATGCATCATAAAAAGTACTCCACAGGCTCCGGGGGGGATAATAAAGGCCTTCTGAAGTGTAGCGATATGTTTGTGTAAGAAAAAGATCCATATTTAAAACTTTATGAATCGTAATCTCTAGATTCCGCCAACTGTCATTCGTGCGTTAACGAGAGTGGCATTTTTTTATATAACTCAGATTGTATTTGTCTGAAAGTAGTAGTAATATATATCTAGGATGGCTTGAGGGTGAGTAAATCATGGTCATCCTTCTCCTTCCTTTTGAATGTTGATAAGTGTTATTATTTGCATCCCACCAGTTGCGAACCACTGTTTTAAAAGATGCGGTTGCACTGTAAACAGACGATAATGCCTTAAATAACATGCATGACTGTAGTTTTCAAAACATTAGCATTTAGTATAGACTATATTTTAAGAAAATATTCTAAATTCAGACAACCGACTTGAGGGACAACTCTCTGCACAATAAACAGGATGCAAACTGGGTCGCAAAACTTTAAGTAGTTGTTTAAATGCAGTCAGTCTGATTGATATAAATGAACTCTAAACTGGTTCTCACATCATCTCCTTATTAGAAACAAAAGTGGTTTTGTACTAGAGCAGAATGTACCGTAGGTAACTGCATACCAAGCAAAGCAACTGAGCATTGTTGCTATGGGGACACTAATGAATGGTTTAGCACTGACATTAGTTGCATAACAGTGAAATGTATTTTATTGTTTCACAATTAAATCATTTAATAATGTACCTATCAGTGCATGTCAAACAACTAAATCTACAAGATTTTCTGGGCCAGAAAATATTAAAAACTTCTCCGCAGTCATTTTTCAGAATGCTCTAATGATTCTTTTGGAGGAACAGTTGAGAGGTGCAAGCTATTTTCAGACAAAAAAAATTGTTGTAATGAGGAGAAGTGAAAACTGGAACACCAGTTAACACACAAGCTGTCTTCCAAAACCTAGCAAGCTGCCTACTTGGACTGCAAAACATTGCATTTTAAGGCATCACAGTCATTTTCAGCTGTTTCATTATACTACCTTTATTAGATACTTATAGCTAAGAAACACTGTATCATTGGATTTAATGATTAAATAGCTACATTGCATTCAACACCAAATGATAATGCAAAAATTGCTCAATTAAGTATTTTATAAATTTGTAAGTGTCATGTTTCTTTAAAGTAGTGTTGTTAGCTTAGCAACGTTCTTGCTAGTTGCTACCCACACACGTGAAACGTCCCAAATAAGTCATTTTCAATGTTCTATGACAGTTATGGTATGTGTAAACTATCATGGAAATAGGTGAGTGTTTTCAATTCTCGAAACTTGCGTGGGTGATTGTGGGAGCAAGTGGTGAGAGTGTCAAAAAGTTGAGAAATGCTCAATTTCACAAATTTTATTTTAAAAAGCCATGCAGCAGCCAATCACAGTAAAGTGAAGGCAATGACAACTGTCATAAGCATTTAGAAATCTGCCAACAGTGCTGGAGTTTCTGGTAAATTTGGTCCTGAGATCACATTGATAGATATTGCACCTAATTCAAATTTACTGTTATTATTGTGGGCGAAGCTTTTGCTTGGTAAACAAACTGCCAATGTCTGTTGATTTCGAAATTGACCAAGGCTCACTAGGTTTTGGAGCAATTTATGTGATTTTGGAGCAATTTCTAATTGATGTGTGCTGAAGTGGTTCTTACCAGGCGGTTTTCATCAAACACCTCAAAAAGAAGCCTGTGGTTCTGTGGGCAGACCTGCAGATATGACAGAAGTACAAACTCAATGCTTTTGTGTAAAAATATCAATTATTTAAAAAAATAAAAATAAATAGAGTAGCTAATAAACAAAAATACACATGCACACACACATTTCACAGTCACATGCACGCTACCTAACTATCCGAAGCAGGCACATGAAATGTGCGATATACTGTAAAACTATTTCACTGGCAGGGTTGTTTTTCGAGATTCAGGTGCCAAACCTGGTTCTGGTGTGAATCAAGGTACTGTAATGAATAGGGGGGTCATTATCGTGGGCTTAGAATAGCATCTATAAATCACGTTCATGTGAATGGACTTCTAAATGAAGCAGCTCACAATCTTTCACTAGATCGTTTTACGCACAAGCAACATTACCGGCCATTGATGTCACAAAATTGCATGCTGCTTCTAATAATAGAATATTACAATTGTGGCAGTGACGAAAGGTGAGGCATAGTAACAGATGTGTATTCCAAAAAATATTTCAGTGCTAAGTTCTTAATAGCACTGGACAAAGTTAAGATTTAATTAAAAACAAAATCAAAATCAAAAATATATAGAAGTGCCTTCCATGTATGTGTAATGTAATACATGAGCCATCCGAGGCTCAACTATGGACAACCAAAACAATAAGTAAATAAATAAAAATAGAATAATCAACTTACTCTGAAATAGAGTTCCTCATTCCATTTGGGATTGAGAGTCTAAAAAAGAACCAAAAACATGTTATTTATGCGTTTCAACATTTATCTCACACAACTCAGAATGAACTGATACAAAATTTTAGTTTTGCATTGTAAGGTTACAAAATCTATCAATATCTGTAACCTTTTAAAAAACTGATGATCAATTAATTAAACCGGTAACTTGATTAACATAACATGTTTTCCACATTTACTAACTTACAAGTAGGAAATAAAGCATAGCTAGCTTTTTTGTGAATGCATTAGAATATATATACACAAATTATGTATAATGTTTATGGAAATGTCAAAGTAATACAGACTAAAAAAACATTAAAAGCATTTCTTTCTCCTTAAAAATCATATTTAAACAAAATAATTTCAATCTCAATTCAAAGGGTACCAGTAGGGTACCTAAAAAAAAATAATTCAACTACAGCAGTGACATGTATGCCATTACCTTCATGCATTAGAATATATATACACAAATTATGTATAATGTTTATGGAAATGTCAAAGTAATACAGACTAAAAAAACATTAAAAGCATTTCTTTCTCCTTAAAAATCATATTTAAACAAAATAATTTCAATCTCAATTTAAAGGGGACCAGTAGGGTACCTAAAAAAAATAATTCAACTACAGCAGTGACATGTATGCCATTACCTTGATGAAATTTAAACCACAGGAAATTTAGAACAGGAGACCTTGGCTAATATTTACTATACTTGAATAAAATATTTTATGGTCGCTCACAGATAAAGATAAATGGAAGGAGAGAGAGAGAGAGAGAGAGAGAGAGAGAGAGAGAGAGAGAGAGAGAGTCTAAAAAAGAACCAAAAACATGTTATTTATGCGTTTCAACATTTATCTCACACAACTCAGAATGAACTGATACAAAATTTTAGTTTTGCATTGTAAGGTTACAAAATCTATCAATATCTGTAACCTTTTAAAAAACTGATGATCAATTAATTAAACCGGTAACTTGATTAACATAACATGTTTTCCACATTTACTAACTTACAAGTAGGAAATAAAGCATAGCTAGCTTTTTTGTGCATGCATTAGAATATATATACACAAATTATGTATAATGTTTATGGAAATGTCAAAGTAATACAGACTAAAAAAACATTAAAAGCATTTCTTTCTCCTTAAAAATCATATTTAAACAAAATAATTTCAATCTCAATTCAAAGGGTACCAGTAGGGTACCTAAAAAAAAATAATTCAACTACAGCAGTGACATGTATGCCATTACCTTGATGAAATTTAAACCACAGGAAATTTAGAACAGGAGACCTTGGCTAATATTTACTATACTTGAATAAAATATTTTATGGTCGCTCACAGATAAAGATAAATGGAAGGAGAGAGAGAGAGAGAGAGAGAGAGAGAGAGAGAGAGAGAGAGAGGGAGGTGGGTGCTGACATTCAGACAGAGAGAGTGCACCGGCCCTTGACTGCTATTGATCCTTTTAAGTGGAAGAACTTAATCATTAAGTCTACATAGAAGATTGATTGACAGCTTAATTTAAATGTCCTCAGAGGAGTACCTTAATTGATTTAATGTAATATAGACCAAACATATGCAATAGTAACAAGCAAATGCTTTGAGTTATTTTATCAGTATATTTGAGTGCATAACATGTCAGCAGGACTGACATGAACAAAATCTGATAATCATGTTATAAAATCATGTAATAGATTCTCAATGTGGTCTCAAATTTACAGTAACGCATTAAAATGTAATTCGCGCAAGAACTCCTTGATTGGCGGGTCATAAACATACATATACGTACATACTGATATGATTCGCACACACAGACATGCAGGATGCTGTAAATACATCTGATTTATTGGTCTGTGAACCATGTGCCAAAGCTTGTGAAAATACTTCGGGTTATTAAAGCGTAGAAGCACACCCAGGTGTAAATTATACAAGAAGAATACAAAGTAACGTCTGACGGAAACACTGGCTGATCTCAATAATTTTCAGCCTTCTAACCATACAGTATGTAAAAGCTTATGAGACTTTATTTCACTACATTTACATTCATATGCATCAATATAACAGTAAAGTAAACACCTACATTTAGTTTTTAGAAAAACATTTCTGATATATAGAAAACCTGCACAAGGAGACTTTCAAGGACATTTGAGTTTTGATTCAATTCAATGTAAAAAAAATTGAATTGATTTCTAGAATTTTATACCATCAGCAAAATCAACCTGCCAACTCTGGTTCATTATCTTATGTCTTTGCTCATGCCCTTATTGTATAAAGTCAGCAAATCATACTGGTGAACTGAAATCCTCTCTCCTTGCAGTGACTGAATCACTTATGATGGCCAGGGCATTCTCTTTCCTCCAATTTGATTTTTCCTGACATGCCCGCTGCGTCTGACAGTCAACTGCTTGCCTGCTTTCTATCCTACTTGGTAAAATGACTAAATCAAGTCAAATGGAGGTTAATTTTCTACCTATCACATACTCAACAGCCTTCCCACAACTACTAGTCCCACAGGGCTCTGCACTGGGACCACTGACATTATCTGTTGCTCTGTTTCAAACCACATACTTTCTCTTAGCAGTGTTATGCCGACAACACTCAATTCTAGATCCTATAATCTCCCTCCATTTCCACTTTCTTCATAGTCTGCATCTCTTACGTTCCAGCTTAGATAACTAATCATCAACTTAAGCTTAACCAAGACCAGGCTGACATCCTCTTACGTGAGGCCAAACAGCCACTAGTCAATCCATCTCCATGTCTGTTGAGGGTCATGCAGTTGTCACCTCCTGACTAACAGAAAATCTTGTCACAGCCTGCAACTCAACTTCACCCTTTTTTATCTGTGTCTATACAAAGTTTTACAATAGGTAACTGCCTATTGTAAACATAGTTGTGTAGTTAAAAACGGTTTAAACTGGCATCTCACAAGCTATGCTTATGTAAACCAAAAGCACATAACTAAACAAGGGGGAAAAAATCAGGCTTTCGATAATAGGCATGTGGCCCAATTACATATAAATGTCTATTTTATATATATATTTGGTGTCAATCACTATTTTTTTTTCTTTCTGCAACATTTGTTTTAATCATGAATTTGTATCATAAGTCATCAGCTCGGGTCCTCATTTTTCCAAAAGATTCCCAAAAAAAATGTAATTAATGAAAATTACATTCTGGTAAAATTGCATAAACTCAAATGTTAGCAATTTTTGGCATTTATAAAAATGACCACATCACTCAAAACTTGCCTGTTTTGTTTTTATTTCTTAAATTTCCATTAACAATAATGAGTGCAATAACCTTCCTGACACACAAAAATGTAATAAGTAGAAAGTGCATTAGCCATAAATTAAAAGTAAATGTTTCACATAAGCCTTCAGTAAAAAAAATATATGTAGATATAGTTCATAATGATTATATTTAAACTTTTAAATAAAATCATGGTCAAAACATAGGCCTACGTCTCCGTTTATAGTGGCAAGATGCTCTGCTGTTATGTGCCGCAGGCCATTGAGTTTCCAGACCAGTTTATCAAAGCAGTACATCTAAAGCATCCGTCAACAGTGAGACCTGGGGAATGAGGAGGCTTATGTTCCACACAGCGGTGCATTGTCAGCTATTAATAACCAGAAGAGTGTGCCGTCGCAGCACAGGAGATTCCAGACTAAGGACTTAGTGACTTAATGGAAGTGAATGGACCCAAATGCTGACTGACTTGCTAAATCAATTTTTCGCCTGCCCAAGGAAGACCAAACTCTTAGTTTTCATTCAGTGGTCTAAAAGAACCCCGTAAAGAAAATGTCCGGACGATATTTCAACCACAAATTAAAATAAAGATTTTGCTAAAGAAAAGGAAGTCTAATTTTGATATTAAATGACAATTCTTAATTTTTAATTATTAATTCTGACAAATAATAAATGACAATTAAAAACATTTCTCCTACCAATTCTCACATTTTATAATTATTAAATTAATTATTCATATTTACTCATTAAAATGCTCAATCCTATATTTGTAACACTTTACAATATGGTCCTATTAGTTAACACTGGTTAATATGTCAACTAACAATGAACAATGCATTTGTTACAGTACTTATTATTTTTTGTTAGTTCATGTTTATTGAATAACATTAACACATAAATTCTTTACAATTTTAAAAAATGTATTAGTAAGTGTTCAAATGAATTAAGATTAATAAAGACTTTACATTTA